TTATTTGTTAGACCCGGATACAGAATGTAGTCCAGGTGGTCCAACAATGTCTGCCTCGAACTAGAGAGGCCGAGAATCCCGTAGTTGTTCAGTACGCAAGGCTAGATGTCTCAGTAGAGTCAGTCTGGCGCTTAAGGCCTGGAGCAGTGGTTCTCAACCTTCCTGATGCTGCAACCCTTTAATTAATGTAGTTCCTCGTGTTGTGGTGACCCCCAACCATAATACTGTTTTTGTTGCTGCTTCATGACTGTAATTTTTCTACTGTTATGAATCATAATATAAATATCTGTGTTTTCCGATGTTCTTAAGTGACCCCCGTGAAACAGATCTTCAAACCCCCTCGGGTTGAGAGCCACTGGTCTGGAGGAATCCTGGAGAGCTTCTGGTCTTCAGTTCGTGTTGGAATCCAGAAGTGAGTTTAAACATCGGGTGAAAGGATGCCTCAGGAGCAGGACAGATGAACTTGCCAGAGAGCATGGGCAAGCAAGCAGAAAACAAAACTGTCCTCTATGGCATCTCTCATACAGAGTCCCATGTAGCCCAAGCTGGCTTCAAACTCACTATGTCACTGGAAATGACCTTGAAGTCTTGATCCTTCTACCCTCATGCCCCAGGGATTGTGGGTATGCTCCACCACGCCTGGTTTATGGAGTGCTGGGGATTGTGCATACCAGGAAACCACTGCCAACTGAGCCACCTCACCATCCCAAGAGCCACTGGTTAAAGAACCACCCTTAATTCCCAGAGTGAGGCTATTGAGGAAGGATGAAGATGACAGGAAGAAGAACTCAGTGGTTGTAGTGGGAGGGGGACTTAGGTTATTGGAGCAAGCTCTTATCCTTTCTAGGCATGGCAAGAGCCATTTACTCTGACATGCATTTCTCACCATGGGTCTTTGGCACCTCACCAGAGACCCAAAGCAAGACCGTTCACCCAGTCTTGGACTGGAGTCTCCAAAACTCAGCCAAAGAAATCTTGACTCAATGTTGGATCCTGGGAATTTAGATTAGTGTTAAAAATCCTGGGAGTCGCTGGGAATTTGAGCAGGGATGAGTTGATCAGTAGTTTGGGAAACTTCATGGCTGCAGATAAACAAGGCTGTGGCTCAAAAACCAAATAAATACTTAAGGAGTAGAAGGAAGTTCATCCTCTGTCTCGTCTTCTGTGACTTCATGCAAAAGCTTGTAGCACCCTCTGGAGTCCATTACTGGAATTGTCTGGGATTTCATGAAGGAACCAGGTGGTGAGAGGTTTGGATTATGCAGAAGGTTCCAATTTAGAGAACAAGATTAGGGTAGATTGGAATCAGATGTGAGAACTGGAAGGGCGAGCCAAGCGTAGATAGGCTCATCATGGGCTCAGGGTATCCTCTGAGCTGGAGACAAATACTGGGGGTCATTTGGATGGAAACTGTGCTAGCTAGATTTATGTCAGTTTGACACAGTTAGAAACATCTGAGAGTGGGGAGCCACAACTGAGAAAATGCCTCCATAAGATCAAACTGCAGACACACCTGTAGGGCATTTTCTTTTTATTTCATAATATTTGTATTGGTTATTTGGGAACTTCACATCATATGCCCCAAACACACTCACTTCCCAGTCCTCCAAGGTCTGCCCCCTTTGTGACCTATCCCCCCCCAAAAGAGAAGAAAAAACAAGCCCAATTTGTGTTGCCCATATACTCACTGGAGCATGGTCAAACTCCTGCTGGCAGCCCCTTAAAGGAAACTGAGTCCTTCCCCACGTGCACCCCCACCAGAAGCCATCAACTGTGGAGAGCTACATTTCAGCATCCTTATCACAATTTTTAAGAGTTCCCGTCAATGGCTTTCTGTCTAAGCTCTTAGCTCTTTTTTTTTTTTTTTTTGAGGGTAGGGTGAGATGGAGATAGGGGTTTTGTCACAGAAGCCTCCTATGTCGCGCTTTCTCAACTGTGAGTCTGCAGTCATTGATACCATGGTAAAGTACTTCCTTGCCCTCTACAGTTAATGGGAGCATGGATCATGGGCTTATATGTGGTTTCTGGAGATAGCATGAACCACAGACATCCACGTGGTCTCCAGCATCATCCCGTACCATGGACCTCAGCATGGTCTCTGGTAACAGTGCAGACTACAAACATCAACATGGTCCATGCCACTGTGTGCACAGCAGCCCTACTATGTCACTGCTGGCCTTTTTCTTTTGAGACAGGTCTGTCACTGAACCTGGCCCTAGGCTGGCAGACATCTTCCTGTTTCCACATCCACAGTATTTTGGTTATAGGTGCATGTGCAGCCATGCCTATACCGATATAAGGGTGATAGAGATTCTAAACTGTTGTATCCTGAAAGGGCTGAATGACCTAGAAGCTGATTGCCAGGTTGGCTGCTCGCCTATGGGAGTGGGAGGGTGAGCATGCTTGCATGGATAGCATTTTGCTAAGTCTTCGGGCAGGTGATGCAGCTGTGGGGGTAACTTGGGAGTCTGTGCCCGTCTTGACTCTTGGACTTGGCCAAGGCTGGGCAAAGGAAACAGCCAGTTGGACACATGACCTGGCGGACACTGCCACCTGCTGGAACCATTGAGAACTGTAGGCAGACAGCCTATGGGGTCTGGCATCTGACATCCTGGATCCTCTGAGAATTCCAACAGCCTTTTCTGACCCCCAGCAGAAAACAGGGTCCTCCACCATGCCCTACAGACCCAGGGGATTCTCTAATTGACAGCTCAAAGAGCTGTTGTTTTTTAAAAGCATGATAAAGTTGTACTGCAAAGGAAAACAATTATATTAAAATTGTAGTAAGCTTCTGTATACAAATACGTATTGTATGTTTGCTTATGTGAGTAATTGTGCACATATGCATGGTTACAGGTTAGACTAAAGGCAACCTCGGGTTTCGTTCCCAATAGCTCTCCGGCTTGCATTTCTTGAGATACTGTTTCTCACTAACCTAGAGACTGCTGATTTGGCTAGGCTAGCCAGCCAATGAATGAGTCCCAAGGATCCTCTTTCTACCTCCTCAGGACTGGGTTAAAAACACAGGCCACCATGCCTGTTTTCTTCCTTCCTTTCTTTTGGTTTTTTGAGACAGGGTTTCTCTGTGGTGTAACAGCCTTAGCTGTCCTAGAACTCACTTTGTAGACTAGCTGGCCTGGAACTCACAGAGATCTACTTGCCTCTGCCTCCTGAGTGCTGGGATTAAAGGCATATGCCACCACCAACTGGCCACCATCATGTCTGCTTTTTTTGTTTTTTGTTGTTGTTGGTTTGGGGTTTTTTTTTTTTTTTTTTTTTTTGTGCAGTTTTGTTTTTGCTTTTTAAACATGCGCTCCGGGAATCAAATGCAGAATCTTAAGGAAAGCACTTTCCCAGCTCAGTCCTCTCTCCTCGGGGCCTGTAATGGTTAACTTTCACTGTCCTTTTGATAAAATTTAGAAGTGTCTAGGAGAAAGGCCTTTGAGTGAGCCTGTGAGGGCATTTTCAGAGATTTAACAAGGAGAGAAGACTCTCTCTGGATGCGGGCACAATCCCAGGGACGCATGAACTAAATTTTAAAAAGGAGAAGTGACTCATTTATCTCATGCTCCTGTTGCCATGCCTTCCCTGCCGCGGCAAACTGTCTGCCTCGGCACACCACGAGCCAAAACACAGCCCTCCTCAAGTCATTTTGGCCAGGTGCTCTAATGGCGATGAGGACCGTCACTAACACAGCTGGGTCATCGTGCCTATAACAGGTTCTGCTTAGTCCGAGTCATCGCAGGATGCCCAAGAGATAGCCTACTGCTTCCAGCATCGATTACAAAGCTTCACGGACACACAGGGAACAAAAGTACTCTGCAACCGAGTGTACTTGATGAAGCTTTTATTTAAGGACAATGGGATGTCATGGAAATGAGGGGTACAAGACAGAATACTGTTTCAGCAGGATGTCCAAGGGCCAACCGACATTTACAGTGACAGGAGGCTACCTTTACAGTCTTAACTGTCCTTATCCAACAGGTGCAGGCTACCCTGGCACACCTGAGTGTGTGCACCTGTGCCTATCCATCCAGCAGGTGCAGACTTCCCTAGTGTACTAAATACGGAGGTAAGCCTGGATGCTTGTATCTGTACCTACTTACCACCATTAGTCCTTTCCCTTCCTTCCTTCCTTCCTTCCTTCCTTCCTTCCTTCCTTCCTTTTTCCTTTCTTCTTCTTTTTAATACAGGGACTCCTATGTGGCTCTGGATGTCCTGGAACTCACTATACCAGGCTGACCTCGAACTCTGCTCAGAGATCCTTCTGCCTCTGCCTCCCCAGTACTGGGGTCAAAGGTGTGTGCCACCACACCAGGTTTCTACTTAAAAGCTTTCAAGGTATCTTTTGCCTCCTGATTCTTCCTTCTACTATCTTGGGAGCAACTGTGGGTAAGGTGTCACACACACACACACACACACACACACACATACACACATACACAGAGACAGAGAGAAGGGGGGGAGAAGAGAGGGAGGGAGGGAGGGAGGGAGGGAGGGAGGGAGGGAGGGAGGGAGGAAGGGAGGGAGAGGTGCTGAGTCCTCACTGGCCCAACCTTCCTTCTTGCTCCAACTCTTGTTCTCAGTGGACACTGATCTTAAGGGTTTCTTTGAAAGAGGGTAATTTAGAGAACATTCTACAGTCATTGGTGTTTATTCTGCCAGCCCCCACCACCACCCAGCTTCTAGCAAGCAGGCAGGGGACAGAATTGCCTGGTGATGGAACTGCAGTAACAAAGGGCAAAGGGCCAGGCTCAGGCACTGCATGTGAGTTTCAGTTCAGGTCCATCCCAGCAGAGAGCCTTGTAGATACCCATCAGATGATGTACTGTCACTCCTCTGTGTGGCCCTCCTTATTGGAAGTGTGCCCATCTGAGTGTGTGCTACCTTTCCCTACACAGCTTCAATGATCTGTGGCCTCCTTCCTAGTTCTCCCGGGTTTGGGCACAGCCGCATTGCCAAAGGCCTCATGAGTCCCCGGTGAGCAACAGTCGTGGTTACAGGAAAGCAACAGGGAGAGGCAGCCAGGTCCATGTGGGAGAGTCTTAACAGAATACACCAAATATCAGAATCCTGCTCAGGAGAGGGTGGGAGGGTGACGGGGGAAGGCTACGGCAGTGACTAGAGTGCACAGATGAGTGATGACAGCTGGGAGAGGGACACAAAGACATATGACAGCAGCTGGACTGTACAGATCAGTGGCCAGTCTGGGCAAGGCCACACCTGTGTAAACCCCTCCTGCTCAGTAGCATATGTCACCCTGCCCATAGCTCCCAACGGGTGACCAGTGAACACAGACAGGTGCAAGCTGGGGAGTTCACACGTTGTAAGTTTTCACAGGTTTGTAGAGGGGCGGCAGCAGCCCGTGGTTCTCCCGGACGATTTCCAGGTACTCGGATGGTGAGTCCAGAAAGAGGGAGCCACAGCATAACTGACAGCAGCACTTGAGCCCAGTGACCTCCGGGCTCTTATCAGACAAAGAGAGAAAGTCAAAGTCAGCCACTTATGGTGAATAAAATCCCCATGGGCCAATTACTGCCCCCCACAGGCCTCCCCCCACCACCCCATTCAGTGGGCTTGAAAGCTCAGCATAGAGGAGATGGTCAGATGGGGTACCAGCTAGCTAGGCAATTCTACCCATGTCTCTTTGGTGCATCATCCCAAGCATCAGGGTTTAGCAGGACTCCATTCAGCACCAAACCCAGATCAGCGGTCTAGCCTCCGTCCTACAGAGCACCTACCTCCACTATGTCCTTCTGTTGAGTAGCGTTCCGCACAGTCATGTACATGATGAAGACCAGCAACACAGTGATGAGTGTGGCACATGGGAAAGCAAAGACGAATGGCTGGAAGGCTGGGAGGGAGAGAGGAAAATTAGAGGATTGTATAGCTGGTGTTGAAATACCGGTTTGAGGGTGAAGTCAAGTACTGCCAAGCCTGGTGACTTGTTCCATCTCAGGTGTGAACACGATGATAAAAGGAGATACCTGACTCCTCAAGGTTGTCCCCTGGCCTTCACATGTGTGTCATGGCACACATATACAAGCACACACAACAGCCAGTGAGTGGTGGCGCACGCCTTTAGTCCCAGCACCAGGGAGGCAGACAGGTGGATCTCTGAGTTTGAGGCCAGTCTGGTCTACAGAGTGAGTTCCAGGACAGCTGGGGCTACACAGAGAAACTCTGGAAAACAAAACAAAACAAAAAGGAAAGAAAGAAAATAAGAAAGGGAGAAGCACACACAATAAGTAAATACGTAAGTGTTTTTAAAGATATATTGTCTTGTATGTGTGTGCAGGTATATATGTGTACACAGGTGTGTGTGTGTGTGTGTGTGTGTGTGTGTGTGTAAGTCAGGACAACTGCAAATGTTGTTCCTCAGGTTCCTTTGGCTTTTTGTCTGAAATAGGATCAAGACCTTCTCCAAGCAGGCCAGGCTGGCCAACTCCAGGGATCCATCTGTCTCTGCTTCCCAACTATGTCCAGCTTTTTAATGGATTCTGGGGACTGAGCTCTGATGCCCATGTTTGTAAGGCAAGCACTTTGCTGACTGAGCCCAACAGTCTGTCTCTAAAAAAGCAAGCATGATGGAGGCGAACACAGGCAAACCCTATGGTAGAAACTCTTCTCCTATGTACATGTATTCTAACTAGACAAGGTCCATAGGAAAATCCAGGACTTAATTTTTAAAAATGCTAGGGAGATGGCTCAGTGGTTGACCATGTTGCTGCACAAGTCTGAGGATTAGAGTTCAAATCCCCAGAACCCATATAAATCCCAGGGGGGCACAGTGGCTTACCTGTAGCTCCAGCCATGGGAGGCCAGGAGCACCAGAGTCAACAGGTACAGAGACCAGCCATTAGCAAGCTCTGGGTTTGACTGGGAGACCACACCTCATTGACTAAGATGGAAGAATGATCAAGAACGGTTCTTCTAGATATTTTATTAATATGTAATTATGTGTATGTATGTCTGCACGTTAGTGCAGTGCCCATAGAGCCAGAAGAGAGCATTGGATTCCCCTGGACCTGGAATTACAGAGGCTCTGAACTTCCCAATGTGGGTGCTGGGAACCTAACTCCGGTTCTCAGCAGGAACAGTATACACTTTTAACCCCTGAGCTGTCACGTTGGCTGGAGGATGATTCTTTTTATTTCTGTGTGTGTATGATTATTTTGCCTGTATGTACACATGTATCTGGTGTCTGTGGAGGTCAGAAGAGGGCATTAGATTCCCTGGAACTGGAGTTAGGATGGTTGTGAGCCACCACATGGGTGCTGGGAACAGAACCTGAGTCCTTTCCAAGAGCAACAAATGTTCTTAACTGCTAAGCCATCTCTCCATCTCCCCAGAGGATGATTCTTAACATGAAACTCAGGCATCTACCTGGGCCTCTAACCACACCCCACACCCCCACTCCCCCCACACACACACAAAGAAAAATAAAGGGAAGTATGAGAATATTTAAAAATATAATTCATAATCTACTTGGTAGTTGTTAATGCTCAAAGAAACTTTGGACAAGTCTCACTCAATACCTGTGGCTTCTCCCAGTTCTCCCAGCATCCCTCAGTACCTGTGGCGCCTCTTAACACTCCTCACCGCACCCCCTACCCTAAGCCCCTCCCTCTGGGAGGCGGGGCTTCCATGTCCCTACCTTCAGCCTCATCTCTGGCTCTCTTGGCCCTGGCTGCCTCTCTTGCTCCCCCTCTCTCCTCTCATGGTCTGGTTTAATCTGCCAGCCATGCTCAGCCTGGACACTACTCTCTGGCTGCTTTCTCCCTTCTATCTATGATAAAAAAAAAATATCTCCATACTTTAGGAGAGGTCATGTCCTCCTTTTATTTCATTTTTTTTTTTCAATCAGTGGTATCTTCTTAGGGGCAGTTAAATTCTCTACCCTTGGTCTGTGGGCTGAACTCAATGACAAGTAGATAAGAGTGAAGTTGTATGGTTTCAAAGTCTACACTAGAGACTAATCAATGGCTTAATCTCTTGATAGAGCCATACCTGGACCACATTATTGGGAGATGGGGGGGGGGGCTTTGGAGGCCCATGATGATTAACTGTCAACCCATCATGACTTAGAATTACCTGGAAAGACAGTATCAGTTGAGGGGTCATCTAGATCAAGTTGGCCCATGGCCTGTCTGTGGGGGAACTGTCTTGATTGTTAAAGGAGGTAGGACAATCCACCCTGAGTATAGGAAAGCACTATTTCTTAGTCTGTGGTGTTAAGCTGTGTAAGAGTAAAGAATTCTGGGGCTGGAGAGATGGCTCAGTGGTTAAGAGCACTGGCTGTTCTTCCAGAAGACCCAAGTTCAATCCCCAACACCCACATGGTGACTCACACCTGTCTGTAATTCTATTTCCAAGGGGTCTGGTACCCTCACACAGACATACATGCAGACAAAATGCCAATGCATATAAAAATAAATGAATCTTCTTTTAAAACCAGTGAAGAAGTCTCTGCTCTTGGGTGTAGATATGATACTGACTAGCTGCTTGAATTCCTGCCTTGACTTCCCTCAATGACGGACTATACCCTGGACCTGTCAGCCAGATACACCTCTTCCTCCCCAAGTTGCTTTTGATCAGGATTTTATCACAGCAACAGAGACATTACATCGCCAAGGACATGAGGGCTGTCTTGCTCTGGCTCCTTCCTGTGTCTCCTTTGCCCAGTTCCATGATGTAAGCTGCCCCTTTCTCCAATTCCTGTCTACTGTGAAGGAACTCCTTGGTCACTGCTCCCACTGGTGATTGGTGACCATGGTGGCTTTTTTGTTGATATATATATATATATATATATATATATATATATATATATATATAATATGCATTGGTGTGAAGGCTTCAGATCCCCTGAAAATGGACCTACAGACAGTTTTAAACTGCCATGTGGGTGCTGGGATTGGAACCCTGGTCTTCTGGAAGAGCAGTCAATGCTCTTAACCACTAAGCCATATCTCCAGCTCAGTGACCATATTTTGCCAACGTTCATGGAGCCAAGCAGCTATGAAATGAACTCTCAGAATCCTTTCTCTCAAAACAATGCCAGTTGTTTAGTCAGGAATTTGGTTGTCAATGATGTAGACCCCTTCTGAGCAGTGCCGTGTCTTTGCCTCAGCTTCCCACCATCTGGCAAATCTGGCCTCACCCACAAAGCCTCTTGCCAGGAAAAGAATGGTGGAATAGAAAGAGGTCAGCGTTTGTGGTTAGGTGGTCATGAGTTCAAATCCTAGCTCTGCCCATGCCGGTGTGATGCTCATGGAGAGTGATGAAGAAAGCGAGGGGTATGATTGTACTGGGTCAGCAGTCGGTCACTCTCCCTTCAGGGTCATGAGGCTGCTTCCCAAGGAAAGGTGGTATGTATGAGTGCGCGTGCAGGTACACTTCCCTTTGGAGGCCAGAGGTTGGCATCATGTACCTTCCCCTACCACTCTGTACACTCTACCTTGTTTTTTAGAGTTTCTGTTTGCTTTGTTGGATTTATTTCTTGAATTTGTACTTATTTATTATTTATTTATGTGTGTGTGTAGGTCAGAGGACAACTTTGTAGAGGTAGTTTACTCCATCTACCATGGCCCTCCTGGGGCTAGAACTCAGACTGTCAGGCCTAATGCCAAGCACCTTTACCCACTGAGCCATCTTGTGGGCCCATTTTTATTTTGGGTTGTTTGTTTGAGGCAGGGTCCCATTTGGTAGCCCTGGCTGGCCTAGAATTTCTATATAAACTAGGCTAGCTTTGAACTCACAAAGCTCTGCCCGCTTCTGCATCCCAAACACTAAAATCGTAGGTATGCACCATCACACCCAGCTTCTACCTTACTTTTTTTTTTTTTAAGACAGGGTCTCTTAACTGAACTCAGAGCTCACCAATTTGGCTAGAGTGGCTTGCCAGGGAGTTCTGGGAACTCTCCTGTCTCTGTATCCCTGCCCCTAGTACTGGGGTTACAGACACAGGTTGCTGCATCCTGCTTTAATGGGTCCTGGGGACCAGGACTCAGGTCCTTGTGCTTGCACAGCAAGCATTTTACCCACTGAGCCACCTCCCCAACCCTGGACTCGTGTCTTCTCTACGGAATTCATGGGGTTCTGGACACTCACCAGAGCATGTTGGAGCCAGCAGAGCCCAAGGGACCCAGTGAGACCCATGAGGTCATCCGGGGTCTGGATTGGGGTAGAGTTCTTGGGGTTCAGGAAGAGACCAGAGAATAGAGGGGGCAGTAACGATGATGGCAGTGAGCACGTGGGAGCTGACTTCATTGTTACTGTTTAATAATGTTGATGCTCATGGAGATGTTGGTGGAGTTGATGGGGGCTATGTTACTAGGTTGGCAGAATTTGGTGGTGGTGATGATGCTGGGGTGCATAGATTTGGTAAATAATATTTAGTGGGGATGATGAAGTTGGTAGAATGTTAGGGATAGTATGATGGAATTTGGTGGTGGCACTGGTGTTGGTAGAGAGTTGTTGGAGGTATTGACGGAGTTTGGTGGTGGCTTAGAGGCCAGTAGAGTGTGATGGCATTGGTAGAGTTTGTCAGTGGTGCCTAGACATTGGTAGTGTTGAGGATGATCCTGGTGTTGGTGCAGAAGTTGGCAGAGTGCTAGAGATGGTGTTGGTAGAGTTGGTGGCAGGACTGAGGTGGTAGAGTGTGATTGATGGTATTGGTGGACTTTGTTATTGGTACTAAAGTTGGCAAGGTGTTCAGGATAATGGTGGAGTTTGAATTGGTGCTGAGATTGGTAGTATTGATTGTCAGTGGAGTCTGGAAATGATGATGTTGGCAGAGTGTGGGGGTGGGGTGGTGGTTTTAGCATTTGGTCATTGAAATGTGGGCTGTTTCTTTACCCAAGGGAACTACTCATGACCTTAGTGCTGGTAGAGTCAATTCTTGATGACCTGGGTAGGTTCAGCCACCAAGTGATCGGCTGGTCACCAGAGGTGGTGGCAGGGTTTTGATGCAGCAGAAGGCAAGGTGTCACTTACTGGAGGGCCACACCTGAATCCTGTGGTACTGGTGAGCTCTGCTGATGGCATTCTCAGCACGGAAGATGAAGCAATAGTCCCCAGGGTCCTGGAAGACGTGGGTCACGTTAAAAGATGTGCTGGTCACCAACACAGGGTGGCACTCTCTGTCCTCCACTGGGAGACATTGTGGCTTGAGGCCCCAGCACACCTGCAGAGGAGGGCTACAGAACAGCAGATACACGTTTTCAGAAGTGACTTAAGGAACAGGAGCCTGACCAAGGCCAACAGGATACCAGGCTGCCCTGGTCCATGTGATGGTTCATCTTTAATAGGACTTAGAATCACCATGGAGCCAAACCTCTGGGCATGTCTGTGACAGGGCTTCTAGGTTAAGTTAATTAAGGTGGTAATATTTGGTGGCACCATTCAATGGGTTACAGCCCTGAATAAATAAAAAGGGGAAAGCAGGCTGAGCACTGACATTCGTCACTCTCTGCTTCCTGACTGTGGATGTCATATGACCAGTTGCCCAAAGATCCCTCTGCTATGCCCTCACCCCACCTCCATGATGTGAGCTCAAACAAACCCTTCTTTCCTGAGGTTGCTTTCACTGGGTATTTTGTCACAGCAAGGAAAAAAAAATTAACTAATGCATCTCAACATCAAACATTCCGGTTGCAAGAACTCAAAAATACAAAAGAGCTCACAGTTCTTCTCCAGTTCATAGCCACGGGACAGAGCAGTAACATCCTCCCACGAAACCCAAGCTATTCAAGGGACAGAGCATGATCTATCGAGTCACTGGCAGTGTAAAGAGGCCACAGAACACCCATAGCACTCCAGGGGTTTACTCACCTTCCAAGGAAGTTTAAGGTCATTGTCAACTTTTGGAATGTCTGCAGTAGGGTAGGCCCTGAAATCTGGATGCCTTGAAGGGCCTCTGTAAGGAAGGAGCAACCCATCAGACCCGGTGGCTAATGATTAGCGCATGCTGCACAGCCCTTTAGGTTGCAAGGCCACCTCTATGTCCTTGTTTCTCACCCACTCTCTTACCCACTGTTACTAAGCCATTGACTAAGCCAGAAGAAAAGCACCAGCCATTGTCAGAGGCAAGGAAATTCCAAGGGCTGGAGAGACAGTTCACTGATGTCCTCGTTAGTTAACTTTGTCAACCTAACACAGCCTAGAGTCATCTGAGAAAGGAGTCTCAATTGAGGGATGGTCCAGGTCAGACTTGCCTGTGGATATCTCTGTGTCCACAGTGGGCAGCACCATTCTCTAGGCAGGTGGTCCTGGGCTGTTTAAGAAAGCTAGCGGAGCATGAGCTGCCATGCAGCAGTCCTCCACAGTCTCTGCCGTACTTCCTTGACATAAGTTCCCTTGGGGGTAATATTTTGTGGAATGGCAAGCAGGTGCGCCTTCAGGCTCCTGCCTTGAGTTCTTGCCCTGACTTCCCTCAGTGATGGACTATGACCTGGAGTATAATCCAAATAAACCTTTTCCTCCCCTGAGTTGCTTTTAGTCAGAATGGGAGAGAGGGTTGTTGTTGTTTCTTTTGTTTGTTTTTGAGACAGGGTTTGTCTGTGTGGCCCTGGCTATCCCAGAACTCACTCTGGAGAGCAGGCTGACCTTGAGCTCAAAGATCCACTGCCTCTGCCTCCCAAGTGCTGAGAGTAAAGGCATGTGCAACCATCACCTGGCATGTCAGAGTGTTTCATCACAGCAACAGAGACCAAAACAGAACAGTCAGTAAAGTGTAAAACTGAATACCACCCTCAGCACCTGAAAAAAAAAATGTTGGGTCCAGTGACACCTGCTTGAAAGCCCAGAGCTGGGGCAGTGGACATATGGAGTCACTGGCTAGCCAGTCTAATGTACTAGGTAAGCTCCAGGCCAGTGTATCAAAAGAAGGTTGTTGAGCCAGGCATGGTGGCTCACTCCTTTTATCCTAACACTTGGAGGAAAAGATAGGCTGACTGATCTCTGTGAGTTCCAGGCCAGCCAGAACCACACTGTCAAAAAACGACTAATCTTAAAAAGGTGAATTGACATCTGAAAACTCAAGGTTTTCCACTGACCTCCCCATGCAAATGCACATGCGTGCACACACACACACACACACACACACACACACACACACACACACACACACGGACTCAGGTGCACATGTACATCATGCACAAACCCTCACCCCCACATATACACACAAAGAGATCTCTGAAAACTGAGGTTTGCCACCCTTCACAGCCAGCTTTGATCTGAAACCATAACCACCAGAGAGCAAGGAGCATCGAGGACCAGCTCCTGTGCAGTAGGTGTCTGGTCAAGCTCAGGCTCTGGGGCAGGATGGTCTGAGCTCAAATGCCAGCTCTGCTACAGAGTGGCTGTGTGACTCTGTCTGTGGCCTTGGGTGGACCCTCTCAAGCAGACATTAACAGAGGAGATGGCTCCAAGATGTTGGCCCGGAATCGTGTGCATGTGGAAGGAGTGTTGTCTGGGCTCGTTGGGTACAGCCAATCTGGATGGGAACCTACCCCGAAGCCTTAAGGAAGCTGAGAAGTCGCCACTCTTCTGCACAATGCCCTTTGTGGCACCCGGCTTTGTCTGCTCCCATTCTGCCACCACCCTGACGTTCATCGCGAAGGTTCCAACACTTGAATAGTTGTAATAGGCCACAGGGTTGTCAGTTATCAGCAAGGTCCTATATAATGACAAGGAGAAGGGACTTGGACATGATTTTTCCCCTTCCAGGAATTCAGAAGAGAATCCAGCAAAGCATAATGGGAACACCTGTAGCTAAGGTGGAATCTTAAACTCAAGGCCAGCCTGGGCTACACAGACAAGCTTTGTCTCAAAAATCAAAGCACACAAAAACCCATAGCTTTTAAATTTGAATTTGTTGGCTCTAGCTTTCTACATTTCTGTTTGTTTTTGTCTTTTGGAGTGGAGTCATATGAGCCAAGGCTAGCCTTGGACTTGCTCTGTAGCCCAGGCTGGCCTTCATGTCCTGATCCTCCTGCCCATACCTCCTGAGTGCTGGAATTAAAGCCTGTGCCACCATACCAGGCTCTCATTCTTTCTTAGGGCTGAAAACATTTCTCAGTGGTTAAGACCACGCATTTGCAAAAGACCTGAGTTCAGTTGGTTCCAGGAATCCTTGTTGGACAGCTCATAGCCACCTATAACTCCAACCCTGCAGGATCTGTCACCCTCCTGTGGCCTCCATGAGCACCTGGCACTCATGTCCAGGCACAGACGTGAACACACATTCACATGAGTAAGAAAAATAAAAACAAACCTTTAAAAAAAAATCCAAGAACAATTACAACTACAAATATGGCTCAGTGGGCAAAGGTGCTCGCTACCAAGTCTAATGGCCTGAGTTTGATTGGCTCCCCAGGATTCATGTGGTAGGAAAAGAAAACTAACTCCCACAAGCTATCCTTCTCTGAACTTCACACACAGAGACAAACAGAAAAAGGAAAATATTTCTGCATAGCTCTGGCTGTCCTGGAACTCTCTTTGTAGACCATGCTGGCCTCGAACTTACAGGGATCCACCTGCCTTTGCCTCTGCCTCTGCCTCCTGAGTGCTGGGACTGAAGATATGTGCCACCACCACCTGATAGGATTTTTTTTTTTTTTTTAAGCAAATAGCTGGTCATGATAGCCCACACTTTTAATCCCAAAGAGGCAGAAGCAGGTGTATCTCTGCATTTGAGACTACCCTGGTCTGTATAATGAGTTCCAGGGCAATCAAGGTTACATAGTGAGAACTTGGGGGGAGGAGGACGCATACCCATCTCCGAAGTCCCATCTGTAGAAGAAGGAAGCAGACTTGAAGAAGTCGCTTGGGTCATGGAGGAGAAAGGAGAATCTAAGGCTTCTCTTGGTGATGTAGGAGTTTGGCCAAGACACGGAAGAGTTTTGGGTGATGACTAGGTTTCCCACAAGGGACTCTGAGAAAGACAAAGGGAGAATGAGCCCACAGAGGCACAAGGCAAGGAGAGCCTGAGCAAGGCAGCCACTCCCTGGCTCAGACTCCTCCTGCTGGTCAGAATTAGGTGTAGTGTTGGGGACCCCATAGGTTCTTCAACACAGAGACATCCCAGTCACCCCCTGCTGGGGGCGACCCACAGCACATGTTAGATGCTCAACCTGTGTCCCTGCCCACACCTCCCCTGCAGTGTGACTCCACTCTTCCTGGCAAAGGGGACACCCACCAGGAAGAAAGGCATGGGCTACAGCAGAGCATGGTGCCCACGCTTGCAATTTCAGTACCTGAGAGGCTGGGGCAGGAGGATCAAGAGTTCAAAGCCATCCTTGGCTACACAGTGAATTGGAGGTCAGCCTGGGCTACATGAGACCCTGTCTCAAAACAAATTTACATCAGAACTAAACACATGTAGACTATTTTTGCTGTTGTTAATATCCTCTAGGAAATACAGCATAACAGCCATTTACATTGAGTTTACATTGTATCAGACACTCTAAGGCATCTGGAGATGATTTAAAGGATATAGAAGGGACTGGAGATGTGGCTCAGAAGTGAGGCAATTGCCTAACACACAGGAGGCTCTGAGTTCCATCCCCAATGCCAAAAACAGTGAGGGACAGAGCTGGAGAAATGGCTCAGTGGATAAGAGCACTTGGTGCTCTGTCATGAAGATCAGAGTGCAGATCCCATCATCTGCAATGGATTCATGGGGTATCTGTAGCTGGAACGTTGGGGTATCTGGTGCCCTCTTCTGACCTCTGTGGCAACTGTGTGCATTTATATTAGCAGAGTTTATGGGCTTGGTTACATAATTCTATGCTTGTATTACTTTCTATATAATTTTACAAACATGGGCATTTCCACTCAGGACATTATAGACTCACTAAAAAGGTCATGATTAATAATTACACAAGTTGGGGCTATGCCATCTCAATAAGTAAAGGCACCTACCATCAAGTCTAAGGTCTGAGTTCAATCCCCAGGTCCCAGAGTAGAAAGGAAAAAGTCAACTCCTATAAGTTGTCCTCTGACTTCACATGGACATCATGGCACAGGTACCCACATACCTGTGCGCTCTCACTAAATAAATAAATGTAAGTAAATAAATGTTTAAAATACTTACATGTGTTAGTTGTGTGTCACAGCACATGCCTGTAGTCTTAGCACTTGGGAGGCTGAGGCAGGAGGATCTTCTTGAGTTCAAAACCAGCTTGAGATCTCCAGTAAACTTTTTCCCTCCCCCAACTCCCGGAGGGAAAAAAGGCACATAAATTACTTCAGTGTCTTCAGCCAGTCCCCTAAGGGTTGTGGGTTTCATTTGTTTAAATCTTTTTCTATTTCTATTATCATTATCTTGTACACAAAGCATTGCCTAAATGAAGGCTCATTTCCTGAAGGCAAATTCATTTCTGACTGTGAGCCCCAGATGGGTGCTGGGAGCAGAACTCTGACCTCTGCCAGAGCAGCCAGTCCTCTAAACTGCCCAGCCATTTCCCTAGTCTGTGATTATTTTATTTTTAAATCATTTTGTGTGTATGAGTGTATGTGCCTAGTGCTTTAGGAGGTCAGGAAAGGGCATTGGAGCATGTTGGGCTAGAGTTACAGACATTTGTGAGCTGCCATATCGGGGCTGGAAATTGAATCAGAGTTGTCTTCAAGAGCAACAAACACCCTTAATCATTGAGCCAACTCTCCAGTCCCTTTTCTTTTTATTTCTTTCTTGTTTTTTAATTTTGACTTTTTATTTTTTTCGAGACAGGGTTTCTCTTTGTAACAGTGCTGGCTGCCCTGGAACTCACTTTATAGATCAAGCTAGCCTCCAACTCACAGGGATCCACTTGCCTCTGCTTCCTGAGTGCTTGGATTAAAGGTGTTTTAATTTCATTTATTTATCTATTTACTCAGTGTGTGTGTGTGTGTCTGTGTGTGTGTGTGTGTGTGTGTGTGTGCACGCCTGTGCCATGATATGGATATCATGGTCTGAGGGTAACTTGCAAGAGTGGATTCTCTCTTCCCATTGAGTAGGTCCTTAGGCTGGCACTGTTTTCTGATTCTTTTTAATTTAATGAACAACCAAGAAAGAATCTTTGCTTATAATTTGCATTGGTTTGACTAGTGCCAGTTATCAAGGCTGGATATTTTTCTGTGCACCAAGAGTGTGGTAGCAGGGGAGACAGCTCAGTCAACTAAGTGCTTGCTTTGAAAGCTTGAAAACCTAAATTTGATCCCCCAAACCCACATTTTTTTTTCAAAAAAAAAAAAAAAAAAAAAAAGCTGGGCATGATGGTGGATTATGTTTGTAATCCTGTTGCAGAATATTTGCTTAACTATGTAAAGATGTGTTGCATTTGCTTAATCATTTAAAAATATGCTGCTGTTTTACCCTGCCCGCCTAGGCATCTGACTGGTCTAATAAAAAGTTGAAGAGCAAGTATAGAGGAAGATGGAATAGGTGAGACTTCCAGGCAGGGAGAGTAGGAGGAGGGGGAATTTAGGCTCTAGAAAGAAAAGGAGACAACACACGGAGACACCAGGGGCCAACCAGCCAGACATGGAGGAAGCAGGAAAATAGGACATACAGAATGAAAGGTAAAAAGCCCCAAGGCAAAATGTAAACAAATGGAAACAGGTTAAATTAAGTTAAAAGCACTAATGGGAGAAGCCTAAGCAAGGCTAAGCATTCATAATTAATAATAAGTGTCTTTATTTGGGAACTAGTTACCAACCCAAAGAAAATGCCAACTACATAATCCCAGTGTTGACAGCCTTTCTAATTTGTGATGAGAGATCCTGCCTCAAAAAAGGGGGTATATGGATGCAATGTGAAGAACAATGCCAGAGATGTTCTCTCTCACACACATGCGCGCACACACACACGAACATATACATGTAAACACACGTGCACAAGACTTGAAAGCAGGCCTGGTGGTCACAGTGGTGAAGCACTTGTACACCATGAAAGAAAGGCCCTCAGAGATCCTCACCTTTGATGGGGAGGACCAGGGCACTCCTGGCTAACGGCTTGCACATCCAGCAGTCGACAGCAGTGACCCAGACAGTGACTGGGAAGTCCCCAGGCACATTGCCCACCACGTGGATGGTTGAGGTTAGATTCTTCTCAGTCTTGGCAGTGAGTACCATCGGTGTGTGGATCCAGTGAAAACGGTAGAGGTGGGTGTCCACAGGCAGAGACAGGCTGCCATTGTCCTTGACCACTAGGCTGGCTGAGATGGTCACTTCTGTGCCAATGGTTGCAGGACCATCAGTAGTAAGACTAAGATTATAGAGACCTAGGAGACAGATGCAGGCCAGGTTTCAGGAAGGCAATGAGGAGCCCCTTCAGCTGCCATTCCAATCATGAACTATAACAGTGGAGCCAGTGAGGTGGTTCATCACACTGATGATATGAGTTTGATTCCCAGGTCAATGAAAAAAGCCACCCCCCCCCAAGTCTTCCTCTGTGCCCCTCCCAATAAAGGTAGCACCACAGAATGTCCCTATTTATTTACAGGGGATCCTTACTAAGACCCACACTTGATGTCTGAAATCAAATCAAAGACAGCACCAGACCCAATATTCCCTGTGTTTTCTCCTTGTTTCTTCATCTACTCACTCATTCATACATACAATTGCGGTGAACTTTAAACCAGGCACAATAGGAGGAACTAAGATTGGTGGATATGTCAGTAATCCCAGCACTAGGGAGGCTGAGGCAAGAGGAATGAAAGTTTGAGTCCACCCAGAGATACACAATATCTGTGTTCAACACCAGTTTGGGCTATATAGTGAGACTCCAGCTAAAGAAACAGAACAGAGCTGGGCAGTGGTGGTGCAGGACTTTAATCCCATCATTCAGGAGGCAGAGGCAGGCCTACATAATCCAGACTGGTCCTAAATTTGTGGCAATCTTCCTGCCTCCCCCTCTAGAGTGCTCCTATTACAAGGACATGCCACCACACCCAGCTTGACTCTACTCATTTTACCCAAGACTCTCCCAGCCAAAGTCCCTGTTGGAGGCTCAAGCCTTCCTAGGCGATAAGGCAAGTGGTGTCTGCACTGTAACCACATGAAACTAAGTGTAAATTAACCTATTGTGACTGCTTACATATACTTAAACTAAGCATTCTGTTTCTCAGTCACTGCACCCACACCCCCAGTGTTTAACAACAATGTAGCGGTTGGTCAATCTACTTCAATCTACTGCAGGCACACAAAGTATCTCTTTTAGCTCAAGGCTCTATTTGCCATGGGTGGTTGAGTCCCTCTCAAGTTTTGCTCTTTTCACTTCTTGTTGGGGGAGGGGGGAGCCAGTGAATGAAGCTCTGGTTCCATCCCTCCCATTCCATGAATGACGGTGACAAACACCAATAACCCTAGTACTCTGGAGGTGGAAACAGGAGGTCCAAAAGTTCAAGGCCATCCTCAGCTACATAGTGAATTTGTAGCCAGCCTGTGCTTTAGAAAAGTCTGCTTAAAAAAATAAAGCCAGCTGTCCCAAACACCAGCCACTCATCTACTCTGCTCCATTTCCAGGGATCCCACATGTGGTCATCTGGATTTCTGCTCCTGGCCCAGATCTATGTCCTACCTCTCCTTGCTTTTAGCATTGGATCTAATGAATCGTGGGATTTCCTTTTGGGGTGTAGATTAACATCTAGAAAACTTCCACCTGGCAATGAGCCACTTTAATTAATTCTTTCAGTTCCAGGAGGCCCCCAGTGGCGCACAACTTTGATCCCAGTACTCAGGAGGCTGAAGCAAGTAGATCTTTGTGAGTTCAAGGCCAGCCTGGTCTACATAGTTAATTCTAGGCCAGCCAGGGCTAAATAGTAAGACCTTGTGGAAAACATAAAACATTTCCAGTTCCCAGGATGCTTTGGTCCTTCTGACTTTAGGGCTTTTGTATATGCTGGACCAGAGGGCAATGGCACTCACTGCCAAGCCTGATGACCTGAGTTTGATCCCTGGGTATGCAAACACTCCACTGAAAAGAAATCAAACCTAGAAATAAAAAGAATGTCTGTCCTACCTTCTGTCCCATAGTAAGTTTTAGGAAGCTCTCCTGTGCCTTGACCCCTCAGTGCTCTCCTGACAGGTTGGGCACACTACTGTCGCTTTGCCTCTCCCAGTATACTTTGAATTTCTTGAGGACAAAGATCATCTGCTTCTGTATTTTACAAGCAAAAGGCCTACCATGTAGTAAGGAGCTGGAGACATGGCTCTGTGGATAAGAGTACTTGCTGCATAGGCCTGAAGACCTGGGTTCAATCCCCCAGACCCATGTAAAAGAGCCAGGCATGATGAGGTACACCTGTCTCTGGACTGGGGTGACAGGGACAGGAGGATCTCTGGGGCTTGTGAGCCAGTCAATCTAATGGAGTCAGCGGGCTCCAGAGTCTACTGTGATTGTTTGAATTTATTTAAAAGAAAGAATTGGGCCTCAAAGTCACATTAGCAAAAAAGTCAAGTGTTTGATCACAACCAGATGCTCTTAGTGGCCAGTATGAGGCAGTGCCACAGGTGGGCAGAAGCTGAAGAAGACGTCCTAGGTCACCTCTCCCCTCCACATACAGGAGCATGCACATGAATGCACATGCACCATGTGTATACCCATGCACAGGCGCGCGCGCGCGCGCACACACACACACACACACACACACACACACACACACACACACACGTTCAGTGTACTTCTGAGTCATGTGATTAGCTGTAAAGGAAGATGTGGCCCCTGGGGGTGACTGACTGAGCCCCTCGGTGTGTCCCACTCTCACAGGTGCTGGGGTTACCTAGCACAGACAGTGTTCCTCCTCAGAGTGAGTTCACAGGATACCTGCCAGAGTCTTCAGCAGAACCAGGAGAGGAGTCCATCTGCCAATGCGCCACTCACAGTGTTCCCAGTCCCAACTGGGGACTTTGGCTTCAGTCTTTTCTGTTGCTCTGCCCCCATGTTCCTATTATGAATCCCTTTTCTTCAAATCCATTTGTTGAGTTATAAAGCTGTTTGAGTCAAGATGCTAAAGGCATGGGCCATGACTTCTATCCAAGATACCATGGGTTTGAGGGCTAATATGGTCAACATGGTGGAATTTAGTTTAGTTTTGAGGCTCTGTATGGAGTCCTGGCTGTCCTGGCATTCTCTATGTAGACCAGTCTGGCTTCAAACTCACAGAGAGCTACCTGACAGTATATGCAGTGAGACTGGCTGCCATGGCTCCTGCTGCTAAAAGGTCCCTGATATGATGGCCTCTGTTTTTGAACACTTATTTATTCATCTTTGGAGGGCAAACATATGTGTGCACATGTATGCACAATGGCATGTAGCAGGGGTCAGTTTTCTCCATCTGATATATGGGTTCCAGGAATCAAATTCAAGTCTTCAACGTTAGCAGCAAGTGCTTTTACCCTCTGAGGCATCTATACAGCCACATCTCCAGCTGTTTTATCATACCACCTAGGCAAGTACATAATACAAAAGAAAAAGAGCTACATTTGCTATCCCCCCGGGGCTATTTGCCCTCCCTCTAGTCAGCAGGCAGCATATCCCTTTCCTCAAGGGCTCTTATCTGTCTCCCCCCACCCCCTTCACCACCCAGCCCCTCCTTCCTCCCACTCAAGTGGAGGAACAAGGACCAGAACGAGGCTCTGAGGTGGCAGGGACACTGAGCTGCATGTTAATTGCCATCCTGCATCTGCAGTGAGATCGGGCTGACGCAGATAGGTTGCCATGGAAATGGAATCAGGGGGCAGCTGGCTGGAGCAGGGAAGAAGGAGGACCCACTGACGTTGTTGCAAATGGTTGCCCAGCTCATAGGCACTCCCACTAGCTCGGCCTGGAGGAGACCACAATGGTCTTTTCAAAACCGGAAGCTGGGCTAGAGAGATGGGTCAGTGGTTAAGAGCCCTTGCTGTTCTTGCATAGGACCTGAATTAAGTTCCCATCATCTACTACAGACAGCTCACAACAGCATCCAGAACCTGAGGATCCTATGCCCTCTTCTAGTCCTCTACGGGCACTCAAACACATGTGTGCATACACTCACGCTGATAAATGTGCACACACATAAATAAAAATAAATTTAAAAATTAAAAAGATTAAAAACAGAAGCTGCACCAGGCATGGTGGTGCAGCATGTCTCCATTGCACTTGAGAGGCAGAGGGATGCAGATCTCTGTGAGTTCAAGGCTGGCTTGGTCTACATAAATGAATTCCAGGCCATTTGGGGCTACATAATGAGATCCTGCCTCAAAACAGAACAAAATACCAGCAACAATGAAAACACCCAAAACAGAAACAACAAAAAACTAGAAGCCGGGACTCAGTTAATAAAGTAACCACCTAACATCCATGATGCCTCAGATCTGTCCCCGGTACCTCATCATACTGAGTGTGGGGGCACACACCTGTAAGCCCCAAAGCTCTGGGGGTGGAAGCAGGAATATTAGAAGTAGAAGTTCAAGGTTATCTTTGGCTGTATCAGTTTGAGACCAGCCTCCCAGGCCACATGAGACCCTGGACTCCTTTCATTGGGTCAAGGCAATCTCCTTCTTCCTCTGGGCTTTTGAGAAGAGTTCAGGGTATCCAGGCTGAGGTGGACAGTGAAGGCTTTTGCTAAGTGTGGCTGGAGGAACCAGGCTCAGTGCACCCCATGTGACCCTGCTCATTCAAATTCATCTTTCAGGTTTGGGAGCTTTGGTGAATATGGAACCTGGGAATACAGAGAACAGCCAGCCAGCAAGGCAAGGATTTGGGGGTACCCCCAAGTTCACGCAAGCGACATAGGAATGAAAGTGCCAAGACAGAAGGAAGGGGCAACTTCCTCAAGAGCATGATGGCCCCAGTTCCCTACCAGCTTTCCAGGGCTTCAGTGTTTTCCCATGATACATGTGAGGCCTGGAACATACTAGAAAATGACTACTGTGGCCTTTTCCCATAACATATGTAGGCCAAAAATACTTGTCAAACATACCTGTGACAATCTAAATAACCCAAAAATCAACCTGCCTCTGCCTCCCAAGTGCTGGGAGGTGAAGTCAGGAGTTCTAGGCCAGCCTGGGCTACATAAGATCCAACTGGAAAAATGTTTTTTAGTGTAAGAGAGAGAGAGAGAGAGAGAGAGAGAGAGAGAGAGAGAGTGTGTGTGTGTGTGTGTGTGTGTGTATAAGAGAGAGAGAGAGACTAGAGTGGTGACTCATACTTACTACTCCAGCACTGGGTAAGGGGGTGCAAGTTAGAGGCCAGCCTGGGCAATTAATGAAAACCTCATCTCAAAATAAATATTACCTGATATGATGGCACATGCCTTAATCCCAGCACTGGGAAGCCTATGGTAGGAAGATCTCTGAATTTGAGGTCAGGCTGGGTACAGAGTGACTTCCAGGACAGCCAGGGCTATACAGAGAAATCCTGCCTTGAGATGGATGGATGGGTGGATGGGTGGATGGGTGGATGGGTGGATGGGTGGATGGGTGGATGGGTGGATGGGGGAATGGATGGATGGATGGATGACAGACGGATGGACAGGCAGATATTTAGTTGTATATTTCTTGTAAATCACATAACTTTTAGACACATATAACCCAATAAATCAGGGTGTCCATTTCTACATGAATTGTATGTTGAATTTCCAGGAGTGGAGGAGGGTGCAGGTGATTTTATACATGCAAAATTCCCACAAAATCCTCTGATGCATGCAAAAAAACACAGGTTGTTTTTTATTTTTAATTTACTTCATGGCTCTGCCGTTCTCCCTCTTCCCCCACCTCTCTTTTAATGGGCGGATGTGCTGTGAAGAATGATGTGAGGTTCCCCCCCCCCAGCTGCTCACAACGCCCCCCCTCCCCCGATCTCTGACAATTCTCGAATCTGGGTTGTTTGTTACTCCTAAAATGGGGTGGGAAGGTTGATTGATGTTGGTCTTTTCATCGCGGAGAGATGGGTCCTGGTGAGCCTGGGGAAGAATCTGTCGACTGAAAGTCCCATTTAAAAAAAAATCATTCCCAGGGAGGAAATGGCAGACTGGCCTCCTCGGCTGCAGACTAGTACCTGCGCGGCCCCTAAGCCAATGTAATCATCGGTGGAAACCTCTAGAAAAAGGCGACATCTTAAAGCAAAAGCACTGCCCCATGCAGACAAAGGGGGCGGTTCTCCCTGGGGGTGGCTGAGGCGCGATGACCTCTCCCAGCCCACCCGGGGTTCCCTTCTTGCTTCCATGCTCCTTGTCCTTCCCCTAGTATCAGTCCCAATCATCGGTATGGATGTGCTTCCCCAGGGCAGAGTGCTGGAGGCAGGCATCGAAGGGGAGCAGGGAGACACCCCTAGTGCTGGGTGACTTCTGGGCAGAGGGGTGTCCAGCAGGGGTAGGGCACACCGAGTCATCTCGGTAGCTCAGGTTCCGGATAGCACTGGACAGATCCAGGCAGGATCTGGCTTACCTGCAGCCACCCTCGCTGGACCCAAAGGCAGGAGGCAGGCGAGCCAGAAGACGAGGCCGAGGTCGGACCAGACATCGGTGGCCTTGGCCATGGCGCAGCGTGGATGCTGAGGGACTCCGGGCGGATGCGCAGGGAACAGGGCTGGAGCTCCGCAGTGGCGGCTCCGAATGGCTGTGCGTGGAGACGCAGCGCTTGCCTGTCCCCGCCTGCATACACCTCCGCCCACACAGCCCTCCCCGGAGCCCCAGAGTCCCTCCCCTCAAGGGATCACAGAGGACCATCCTTACTTCACTAGGTGCGCATGCTCTCTTCCCCGCATCGTGCTTCAGTAGGGTTCAGAGCCATCTTTCCAGCCCAAGACAGGATCTCTTTACTGAACCTTTAGCTCACCAAGCTGGTTAGACAGACTATCAAGCAGCCCTTGGAATCTGCCTACTCCATTCTTCCCAGCTCTGGGGCTACAGATGCTCACCACGCCTGACTTTTACATGCGTGCTGGTGATCCGAACTCAGATCCTCAAGCTTGCACAGCAAACGATCCACCAATCCCCCTCCCTAGCCCTTAATCCCTCTTACTGCCCTAAATTTCCACTACTTTGTATACATTTTTGTACTTACAGAATGTCTCCACTTGAACTAGCAACAGTTCCTAGGGGATAGCCTTAAGGAAAAATGTACACACTTAGCCCAGTGGTGGTGCACGTTTTTTTAATCCCAGCACTCAAGACAGAGGGAGGCAGATCTCTGTGAGCCCGTGAGTTCGAGGCCAGGCTGATACAAAGCAAGTTCCGGGAAACCCTGTCTCTAAATAAATAAATGAAATTGTGGGGTTTTTTTTGGGGGGGGAAGGGTTGTTTTTTGTTTGGTTGGTTTTTTGTTTATTTGTTTGTTTTTTAGACAGGTTTCACTGTGCAGCACTGGCTGTCCTGGAACTCATTCTGTAGGCCAGGCTGGCCTTGAACTCACAGAGATCCACCTGCTTCTGCCTCCCGAGTGCTAGAATTAAAGTAGTGTGCCACCACTACCCAGCTTGTTTTTGCTTTTTGAGACAGGTTTTCTACTGTATGTCTTAGGCTGGCCTGGAACTCACTGTGAGCCACTGTGTCACTTTCTTCTTGGGAAGACTGCTATGCAGCGAGCCCCTGAGATCCAGCCAGAGTTTTCCCTTGCACGGATGGAGTTCCCCTGATTCTATTACGCTTCCATAGTCTATACACTGTGGTCCTTCCCAGGGCCACGGGCTCTCAGACAAGGCAGAATTGCACATTGCTAGCTAAAAGGTACACCCCTTTTGAGATAGCAAATGAGGGTCGGCAGCCTTGCCCATATGTATGTCTGTTTCTATGAGGGAAACTCAACAGTAAATAGGCCCAATCTTGAGGGGCTCTGGCAAGTAGTTGTAGTTTCTCTGATGAAGATAATGGCTGTCATATTCAGAGAACCCAGGGACCGAGGATAGGCATGGCTAATAGAACCTCGTTCATTTTAGTTGTGTTCTGTTTGGGCTAATTTTTCCAGGTAATAAAAAGTTGGCAGGTATTCATCTATCCACGTAATCCTGTGTGTGTATGTATTATCAAATGCATACTAGTGTATGCACAGAGGTCAGAAGATAACTTGAAGAAGCTGAGTCACTCCTTCTACCACCTGGGTCAAGGGGATCGAACTCAGGTCCTTAGGCTGAGCAGTAAGTACCTTTGCCTACCAATTCATCTCGTTGTCCCCTCGATGATTTTTGTTAATGATAGCATTTTGAAAGCAGTTTATTCTGTCTGTTGGACTTAGCAAGGTGGTACAATTGAGTATCCTTTGGTCACAGATGGCAGAAGCCCCAGGGATCCTATTCCTACTAAGGCAAGATGAGGCAGGGAAAACTTGGTGAGGTGAGAAGGGGAAAGGCACTCTTTTATCTTGAAACCTGGTTAAAATCTCTTTCCAGGAAAGAAGCAAGACTTCCTGCATACCCATATATACATATATATGTTTGGAACCTGTCCTGGAACTCTCTCTGTAGACCAGGCTGATCTCAAACTAAGAGAGATCTGCCTGTCTCTGCCTCCCAAGTGCTAGGATTAAAGACAAGAAGACTCACCCATCCAATCAACTGAGTGCTTACTTAGCTCAGCTTTGTTTCCTAGATCAGGGTGATTATTGTGTAGGTCATAGGTGGAAAAGCTTTTGTCTCTCTTGAGATGCTGTCATTTGTATATTGTTCTGTGCAGGTATTCCACTGAAATTGTACTCATGGTTTCTCCTAAGATCCCCAGATCTGTGCACATGCCTGCTGTACTCAGCTATTTACTGTGTAGTGTCTGAGAAGTGCTACTTACACAACAAAATGATTCCCTGGCCCAATGAAATATTTGTTAATACAAAGACTCTTTGGTTTTTCTTTCTCATTCTTACTGTCCGCTTGTCCTCCATGAGGGCCTTGGCCCTCTGCCCACCATTCCCCCTGCTCTGTGGGTCCCTGCTCTGCAGATCTCCCTTCACCAGCACTTGCTAAGCACAGTGGTGGAAGCCAATAGTTCTCACTTCACCCAGTCAGGGCTGCAGCTGAGTCTGTGATGGTCATGGAGAAGCTTGTGTGTTCTTTGTCTGTGGTTGCCATCCTGACATTCCTACTGCAGGGCCCTTTGGTCCTCCTCAGAAGGGCCCAGGCTTTCAGTCTGGTTTGGAGCTAGCCTCCATGATAGAAAAATTGGGAGTGTCAGCTTTTCTTTCTGCTGGACAGAGAGATTCGCTCAGACAAATGGGCATGCACCCTGGAAACTGACAGGAGATAGGCAACCTGCCTCAACTTCACTGGGATGAGTGCGCTTTCCAAGCATTTAGAGCACACACATTTAAAAGTGAGATGTGTGTGAACTCTCTTTTTTCCATTAATTTGTGTATGGGGAGAGCGGGAGATTGTTGTTGTTATTGTTCCTTAGTTTGGGTATAAATGCTCTTCTGTCTGTGTATTTAACTGGCTTTGTGTCTCCTGTGTGCATATATAATTTAGTGGAATAGTGATATAAAGAGCAAATCTCCTGTTTCAATTTTGTTTCGTTGTTGTTTTGGTTTGGTTTTTCGAGACAGGATTTGTGTGTGTGTGTGTGTGTGTGTGTGTGTGTGTGTGTGTAGCCCTGGCTGTACCAGAACTCACTCTGTAGACCAGGCTGGTCTTGAACTCTCAGAGATCCACCTGCTTCTGCCTCTTGAGTGTTGGGATTAAAGGAAGGCTCCACTATCACCCGGCCCTCCTGATTTAATTTTGAACTTAGTGTCTACATTACATCATGACTATTCCAAGCATTACAGAAAAAAATTTTAATTCCCCCATTTTTATTCTGAGAGAAATAGAAACATTGTTTAAAGATTCTATTTTTATTTTTGATTATATATCTGTCTGTGTGTATGGGCCCAAGAGTGCAGAGCCCTCAGAGACTGAAAGGGGGAGGTGGTGTTACAGGCAGTTTTGGCCACCTGATGTGGGTGCTGAGACCTGAGCTCAGGTCCTCTGGAAGAGAAGCTGGAGTATTTAGCTGCTGAGCCATCTCTCTAGCCCCTTGAACAGTACTGATGATTCCTATGACAACCTTGACTTCACGGTGGCTAGGTTATTACTGGTTCCATGGTGAAGGATTCATTTACATAATGACTTGAAATATTATTTAGACTATAGCAATCATGGCAGTACTTGAAACTGACATAGCCACAGGGAATGAATGTGTTTCTGCCATGTCCACGTACCACAAACATTTTGCCTTGTTTCCCCAAATGATGCTGAGTAAACCTGAATTGACAAACAGGAGCAGAGCACTTACTAGGTTTTTGTATCATATCGTTATTGAAGTTCCCTGTAGTGGTGTCTTGCCAGTGAACCTATAAAGATGGCCACACCCCTTTGGGTGTGGCTTCAGGTGGATGGAAGCAGAGAGAGGGAAGAAGCATGAGGCCTGGCTTCTCTTGCAGGCTCTCTTTTTCTCTTAGGTCAGCCTATCAGATAGGAGGGGCAGAGAAGCGCTCCTGCCGTTCTTTACTATTATCTGTGTAAGTGTTTCCCAATAAACACCCATTTATCATTTACCTTGGGTCTAGTGATATCTTCACACTCATGCCTTCAGTTCCCAGCTGCCTCTATATGTAGCTTGCTGTAAGAATAAACCAAATAGTTCCTTAAATACATGAGCCATTGAAACTGAATATTTGTGAGTTGAGGGGATTTGTTTGTTTGTTTGTTTATTTTTCAAGACAAGGTTTCTCTGTGTAACTTTGTAGACCAGGCTGGCCTGGAATTTACAGAGCTCTGCCTGCCTCTGCCTCTGGAGTGCTGGGATTAAAGTCCAACCGAATTGCAGGGAGTTTTCAGAGGATTTGTAGCTATTTAGCTCTCAGTTTTTAAGACTGTAGAGTTATGGGGCTGGAAAAATGGCTCAATGGTTAAGAGTATTTGCTCCAGGCACAGTCTTGGAGTAATCCAGGATGACCACTCTGATCTTTGTTGATAAGGATAATGAAGAACCAAGCAGCGTTTGGCATTCAAGGATGGATTGAAGCTGGCTAGTGTCTGGTGTCAAAGCCTCAGATGGGAAATTGCAAGTCTCAGTACCACAAGTTGGCAAAGTGTTCAATTCTTCAGCCTTGCCTAAAGCCAGCAGAAAGGCTTTGGGAACTGTCATCAGAGTTACAGAAAATCCAGCAAAGATCAATAGACCCCTCAAACAGAAACAGCCAACGTTGACTGTGAAAAAGACCACCGAAAAGGCTGCTAAGACACAACAGGCTCTGTTCCTGCTTCTGATGACACCTACCCAGAAAGAGAAAAGTTCTTCCTCTTCAATCCTCTAGATTTTGAGAGTTTTGACCTGCCTGAGGAACACCAGATTGCACATCTCCCCTTGAGTGGAGTGCCGCTCATGCTCCTGAATGAAGAGAGTGGGCTTGAGAAACTGCTACACCTGGACCCCTCTTCCCTCTGAAGACACCCTTTCTACCATGGGAATCCAATCGGCTGCAATCTCCTTCCAGCATTACCTGTTTGCTACGATGAAGATATTTAAACTTCTTACTCCCTTATATCTTATGTATGTTGTATTAATTAATAAAGCATTTGTGTGTGTAAGAAAAAGAAAAAAAAGAGTATTTGCTCCTCTTCCAGAGGTTTCAAGTTCAATTCCCAGCAACCACATGGTGGCTC